AAAATATAATCTATTATTAAAAAAATAATTGATTAATATTTATTTACCAAAAACCAAAACCAAACCAATTTTATTGGTAACCGAATCGATTGATTTGTAAAAATTTTGGTTCAATTTTGATTCTCAAAATTTTAAAAAATTTTAGTTATTTTAAAACCGATTTCAATTTTAACCAAAACCGATTTTTGCCAACCCCTACTCCCTCTCCCTTTACCTTGCTTCCTTAATTTATCTTTTTTTGTTTCACCTCTCATGAGAGCCTTCTTTTTTTTCTTATTTTTGATAAGTCCACCTCTCATGAAGCCTACTCTTTTTCTCAGTTTTTTTTTTTTTTTTCTCCTTCCCTTCTCCTCCTTCATTGTTCCCCTTTATTATATTTTCTTTCAAATTGTATCTTCTATCCCCTTTATTTCCTTTCCATTCCTTTGTTTAAAGCAAATTTGCTATCATTTAAGATGATTTTCTCTCAAGTATGTTGAGTCCCTCGTTATTGAATTCAATGAACAACTAAGAGACGATAGTTAGTAATGGCAAAGGTGGGATTCAAAGGTAGTTGATGGATTGAAGGCAGAGAATGTGGGCAATCATGCAGGTGGATGGGAGATTAAGGCTTGTTTAGTTTAGGGAAGACTAATAGTTGATATGTGGAAACTGTTATTTGTTGGGTTATCAACTCTATTTAGAAACTGGTAATTTCAATAAGGTTTTTAAGAAGCTTTAATCATTTTATAAGATAACCCTTCTACTTAGCTCTGTTTTTGCCTTTATAGTGATTGCTTTTAATCTTTAGTTACAAATAACTTTTTATACTTATTTATCTAAATTCATTATGTATATAGCTTAAGTTTGTCATCTGTAATTAGTGTTAGCTATAGTTACATAATATTTAAAGATTCTGATGTAATCTCTTTTTATGTTTTAATGAAAATCTCTATTTTCCAACACAAAAAGAGTAAAGAATAAATAGTAATATTTTTTAAGAGCAATATTTTTAAGGGTATATGTTAAGAGCATAATAAATGCATTCTCTTACAATTAACTTACATGAAAAACTATAAAAGTTGACTTTTATTTTAACACCATTAATTGTTATGTGGATAATTTTAATTAGTTAATTAATTAAATTAAAGTCAATGTTTATATTTTTCATGCAAAATAATTATAAAAAAAGTGTAATAAATTGATACTTAACATGTGCCATAAGGACAAATGTTAAAAAATTATTTTTTAAACAACTTTACATAT